AAAAATTAAAAAAAAATAAATAAATTTAAAAAGGGCTGGGGAGGTAGCTCAGTGGCATAAGCAGCTGCCGGCAAGCACCAGGTCCTGAGTTGTCCAATCCCCAGTACTAGAGAGAGAGAGAGAGAGAGAGAGAGATCCCTATTTCTAGCAAAAGCTATTTTATTTTATTTTTTGTACTTTTAGGGAAGGGTCTACAGGGTGTTCAGGGTTTCACCACTAGATCAGACTCATAGTGATCTGCCTGTTTTTCAGCCTCCCAAGAGCTGGGATTACAGGCATGTGCCACCACGCCCAGTCCCGGGGGTGGGGCCAGCTCTGCAGGCCTGGGGATCAAACCCCTGACCCCTGCACCTGCTTGCAGGTGCTTTATTCCACTGAGCTATTTGGCTGGTCCTCCAAAAGCTATTTTAAATGTCAGAAAAGGTAAAGCATGATTGATTTAAAATCCTTGATAAATAAAAACCAATGAAACTCAATATTTAAACTTTAATCTTACCTTGGAATAACATTTATATTACTATGTTGCTTCCAGAGCTGGGAAGGATGCAAAAAAGGCATCTGATAGTGCTGTTGTGATGTTGTACCAAGTCTGTTTGTATTATGCTGTGGGTTCCTGAGCATATACACTCTGATTTTCACTTCTGGCGCTTTTTGTTTTCATTGTTAGTACTTATTATGAAGCTTGGCCACACATAGTTGGAGAGTTCAAAGGTAACCTGAGTTATCTTACAAATCACGAATAATGATGCCGGGGCTGGCGAGATGGCTCAGTGGTCTAAAGCACCTACTTGGAAAAAGCTTGGCAAAGCACAGGGACCGCGGTTCGATCCCCCAGCACCACATGCGAGCCAGCCTCGCCCCCTGGTGGGCTGAGCTGGCCACACACACACACACACACAATAAATAAATAAATGTTAAAAAATATAATTTAAAAAAAATGAATAATGATGCTGAAGGCCCCACAGAGAGGATAACTGAACACTGGTTATTGAGTTTGGTATTCGTAGCTTTCACTTTAAAATTACAAAGTAGTGTACTTATCAATTGGTAGTTTCACACTGAGCTCATTATTTAAAATAAAAAAAAATAAGGTGTCTGATGCAGGAAGAGAGACTGACTTTGATTGCAACATTAAGACTGAAAAATTGAAAATGAATGTAAACTCTTAATTCAAAAAGTACTTTTGGATGACAAGAAAATTTTCAAGTAGGAGAGAATAAATTGCTATGTATTTTAAAGGCTGAAATAAGGCACTGAAAACACTATACTTTCTTTGTTTTCAGTGATGAAAACTTTTCAAGGAAAATCTGAAGGTTCTTTCCTCCCCTCCTTTTTTATTGCCATGCCCTGATTTATTCTTTTTCTTGAGGAATCATGTGTAGTACATTTGTAAGAAAGAAAGAAAAGCTTTGTTGCAATCTCAGAGCTGTGCAGTGTTCGTTTCTGGAGTAAGCACTCGTGGGGTAAGACTATCTGTCCTCCTTCCTTTACAAAACATGTGATTGAGATGTGCTCTATCCTGTTGAATGCTCTACTTCTACATTTTTCCTTCCAGGAGCTGCAGTTGGAACATGCAAGACAGGCCTTTGCTCTAAAGGACAAAGGCAAAAGTGGCATGATTTCTGGTCTGGATTTCAGTGACATCATGGTTACCATTCGGTCTCACATGCTTACTCCTTTTGTGGAGGAGAACTTAGTTTCAGTAAGTAAAACTCTGGCACTCTTAATTTCTGTCTCCTGTAACACTCTGGACCCTTGTGTCCTCAATTGGCCCCAGATCCATCTGACTGCCTCTTCAAATTTTATGCTTGATGGGTAGCTGGTAAATAGCTCTGTGTGTGTGTGTGTGTGTGTGTGTGTGTGTCTGTGTCTGTGTCTGTGTGTCTGTGTGTCTGTGTGTCTGTGTCTGTCTGTGTGTCTCGGGGCAGTAGAGGTGATGGTCTTTCCTCAGATTGTAGCTTTAGCCAGAGCCAGCACCTTGCTCCATTTCCACATTGTTCATTTCCATTTACAGAATCCAGTTCAAAGGAAATGAGAGTCTGTAAATGAGAGTGAGCAATTATTTTTCCAGTGGGCAATACCTCTCCCAGACACTACTGCTTTTATCTTGACCTCTTTCCACCCTGCCAGGCTCCCAGGGTCTTGTTATGAGGATGGCTCCTTCCTTTTTCTGCTGCAGGGATTGTCCCTGTCCACTACACTGTCGAAATAACCATGCCCATGGCAGAAGGTAGGGAGGAAATGTGGCCATCGGCCTCTGTGGCTCACTCCTCTTCTGCCTCTTCGCCTATGCATCCTGTGTGTAAGCACCAGGCACAGTTTTTTGTTCTTTCAAACTGTAAATCTCTATAAAATAATCATCTGGATGAATGGACAGACAGCAAACTCCTGTCATCCACTTCCCCACATAGCGTGGTGACACTTTCCTCACTTACCCATTTTCTTGTTCATGCACTGTATTTGTGTGTAAGTTTCTGATTACTGCTTGCTTTGAGTGGAGGAAAGCCAGTGAGCACTTTTGTTGTTTCAGCTGAAGACCGTTATATCTAATTTAGACTGGGGTAGAAAGATCAACTTCTGGTCTTTTTCTTCACTGCCTCTGAACATAGAGCATGTCACTTTCTCCTGCACATTGTACCTCTGTGACACCAGTCCGCCCCCTTCCCTTTCCTCCCACCCCAACCAGAAAATGAAAGGAAGGAAGAAAAGAGAAGGAGCCAGGGAATGGTATCAGGAAGACAGGAAGAAAATCCTAGAGGGAAAGGCTCACTCTATCCCAGGGTGAGTGGACTCATTAAATCTTTCAGTTAGGATGAATCTATCATAGTCTTAGTTTACCAAGACATTTCTATTCCTCCATAATGTGAGTTCTCATCTTGGGTCACTGGAGACCAAATTCAAGCTAATAAAAATATAATCTATATTCAGATTAAGGAATGCATTGAATGAGTGATGAGTTAGATACATGTGTTAGATACATTTATTACCTATACTGTTTGGAATAGATTTTTTATGATTAAAATCACCACAATGATATTTCTATAAGTATTTCATTGAGGGTTTTTTTTTAATGTATTTAGTACAGGGTGTATGAGGACTCATTACATAGATCGGACTCATAGTGATCCTCCTGTTTGCAGCCTCCCAAGTGCTGGGATTACAGGTGTGCCCCACCATGCGCAGCCATCTCAGTGGGCCCCGGGGATGGGTCCGGCATGGCTCATTGAGCTTTTAATGAAGAATGTTTTTAATTATCTAGGTGTCTCTGACTTGGAAATTAGGCTTTTAGGAATGAACAATAGCTTCTCTTTCGAGTTTATGTTCAAGTGGTGAGCATAGGGAGAAACCACTTCCTCTCACTGCAGGAGTGATGAAGGCCCTCCCCCAGCCTCCCTATGAGACAGCCCCTTCTGTGATGTTCAGTGAAAAGAATTTAGTAGCAGAGACATCCTCGTCAGCCTTTTTGTACATTCTTCTGGAGGTGTTGGTAGCTGTACTTTGCATGATACAGCTTCAGAGATCAGCATAGGCTGTTCAGTATCTGAAAATTACAGTGGTATTAAAAATTTAGAAAACTTGACATAAGAAAATAGTCTTAAAATTTTTTACTGGATGCCATGTGCAGTGGCATATGCCTGCTATGCTGGCTACTCAGGAGGCTGAGACAGGAGGATCATCATAAGGCAACTAAGCAAGATTAGAGGAACGGAGGAAGGAGGGGGGGGAGAGAGAAATTTCAAGAACAAGACATACTAGGGACATGTCTTAGTTGGAGAGTGCTTGTTTCACATACATGAGGCTCTGGGTTCATTCTCCAGTACTACAAGCATAGTACAGTAAAATACAGTACAGTGCCATACAATAGTTACAGAGCTGGGGGTACAATTCAGCAGTAGAGTGCATGCTTAGCATTTAGGAGGTTCTGGGTTCAATCCCCAGCACTCCCACCCCTGAAAAATTGTCACTTGTTTTTTGTCTATGTGTATAGGGGAAAAAAGACCCAAACACAAACACGTTCCTTAAATAGTACATCGATACTACATTTATCCAGGACTAGCAGCAGTTCCGTAGTTGAGGGTCTTGAAAGTCCTGTTTAAATAACTATTGTTTTTGATCTGTGATATTTGTTTTTTCTGACCTTATAGATAGATGAAGTACAAAGTACAACTTCCAGATGTTACATTCTTCCTTAAAACTGAAGTTAAATAAACTTCCCCGAGGGCCTGAAATGTACTCTTTTCAGTGTGGTGGTTTCCTTCTGTTTATGCACTGATTGCTAATCCTTTTATTTTATTTATTAATCATTTTAATGATCAAAACTCCTTTGGATCCGCTTTGAGAAAAGCGCAGTATCTAAAACATGTTTCTTGCTTTTGCTTTTTCAATGCTTTGTGTTGCTGTTTCCCAGGCTGCTGGAGGAAGTATTTCCCACCAAGTTAGCTTCTCCTACTTCAATGCATTTAACTCCTTACTGAATAACATGGAACTTGTTCGGAAGATATATAGTACTTTAGCTGGAACAAGGAAAGATATTGAAGTCACCAAAGGTGAGATTCTAAAGCAGCGCCTTGAATCTCAGCATTTTCACCTTTTCTCTCGTAAGCCGAGGCTGATCCAAGTTCACCACGTTAAAAGCTGATCTAGAAAGTGTGTCACTGTGTGTATATGTGCGTCGCTGGGGCTGCAGAAGCCCAGGTGGATTTAATGGGATGCGGGAGTCAGGAGTGGAAAAGTGGCTTTGACAGTTTTGAAAAGCACTGTGGCCCAGTCTGTCAAACAGGTCAGTGGCACTGTGGCAGCAGCTTGTTTGTAGTAGGAGGAGCTGCCCCAGACAGACAGTGAGGCTCCTTCTGGCAAGTTGTAATAGGGGAATGGAAAGTAGCCACTTCTTTTATCACATAGCTCTGGAAAGCAGAGTGGGTAAACGAGAGAAGAGGTTCTAGTGGTGGATGGGTCCACCATTGAAGTTGGCGTATCGGCTTTTGCTGTGTCAGCTTCTTAGCATTTTACCTTTTCCTGGCTTTCAGAAATGCATGGTGATTTTTATGTAGTTGAACTTCTTAAGTATTTAATTCAATTTTAGACTTTTACACTGCTATTAAGATGCCTTTAGCTTTCAGATTAGATTGCACTTGGTGAAGGTGGAAGTTTGAGGAATATTAAGAAATCTGTCAAGATTTTAGCACTTTCTTTTCCTTTCTCTTCCAGAGGAATTTGCTCAGAGTGCCATACGCTATGGCCAAGTCACCCCACTGGAAATCGATATCCTCTACCAGCTTGCAGATCTGTATAATGCTTCAGGGTAACTATTCCAATAATTCTTCATGATATTTATTATAGGACAGTTTTTTAAAAAAAATATGAATCAGTAGTATGTTTTTAGTTCATTTTAACAATAATTTATTCAATGTGTAAATTTTAAGAAGGGGAAACAGGCAGATTGACAAATAAGAAGAGGAAAAGAAGATGACCCAGGGTGGTGGCAGATGGGAGACGGAAAAGGGGAGAGGACTGAGCCAGAGGAGAAAAGAGAAAGGCGATGGAAAGGAGAGACTGAGGTGGGGCAAGAGGAGTGGGAAGGGGGCGACGCAAGAGGTGGAAGTGATAAAAGAAGAAAGAAGAGAAGGGGAGAGAAGGCAGAAGAGGTGGAAGATTGATTAAATCTGGGCTCTCTGGAAGTGCTGTGAATTCCAGGAGATTTGTGGAAATTTACTCATGTAGATAGACTGAGGCCCATGGAAGACTCTTGTCACCATTTCGGTTATTGTCATAATTATCATCACAGACAAGCTCAGGTGTTCAGTACCAGAAGCAAACAGTCACAGAAGAAAACCAAGCTGAGTGGGACACACCTGTAAGCTTAGGACTCTGGGAGGCTGAGGCAAGAGTATCACAAGTTCCAGCCCAGTCTGGGCAACTCATTAAGACTCTGCCTCAAAATAAAAAATATAAGAGTGCTGGGGGTGTAGTTCAGCTGGGGGTTCTGGGTTTATCTCCAGTACTAACAAAAAAAAAAAGCAAAAACACAAAAGAGAGAAGAAAAACCAAAACAAACTAAAAGCACATAAAAGACATTTAGTTTGCAAAGTATACAAATTCAAAGAAAAACTCTTCTCTATGACTGTTGAGATCTGTGGAAAGAAAACTCTTGGTCTATTAAAAGATAATTTTTTTTGTCATCTCTAGTAGTTCTTTAAGTTTAACAGCATGTGAAAAATGGCTTTATCTATAGAACTGAGGACTGATAGAAGTTTAGTACGTATATGTGATGCCTTATGCTGCATAATGGATTGTTAGGCTGGAGATGATACTAGCTACAGCAGCTCTCATATATAGCTGGATCCTATAATCGTCTGTGATAATTATGACGCTAATGTTACAGGCATATCTCAAGAAAAATGATACTCTCCAACACAAAACGCTATATACAGTGTTCACTAAAAGGACTGTGTACAACAAACCAAAATGGCAACAAGAGTCTTCCGTGGGCCTCAATCTATAGGATGGATATATCTATATATCTATCTATATCTATATCTATATCTATATCTATGCATCTATCTATCTATCTATCTATCTATCTATCTATCTATATTTGGTGATTGATGAGAAATACAGTGCCTGTCTCATCCTCTGAAATTCACATTTTTTAGACAAAGCTTTTGAGGTTCCTTCAAATCCTTGATAATAAAGGATTTCAAAAGGTTTTACTCAGAACTGGATCTAAAGTGATCATTTAGTTGGTTCAATTCATGTACTTATTTTTAAGCAAATCTTTGGAAACAACAGTGCAGCCACATGGTTTAAAACTCAAGAATACATGATGAAAAGTCTCCTTTTTGTCTTCATGACTTTCTTTGGATGCCACCAGTATTTATCAACTTTATAGCCTTCCTTCTAAAACGCTTTGGGCCTATGCATTAAGCAGCTATGCTAAAGGGATACACTTAGTGTATCTTGCTGTGGCAAGAGAGATTTCTTCACTTCTAATATCCATCATTGGAGCTTTATTGAATTTGTATACAGATTTGATTGAAAAATATAGTCAGTCTTTACAGTTTAATAATTTATTGCACTAAAAGGCACACTGCCAGTAAGCCTCCTCAAAATATTCCTCCTTGCTTGGATCCCACTGATCCCATCATCTCGCCACTTTCCAGACCAGTTCTGGAAGGCCTCTTCTATTCATTAGCTGTGCTGTTGGGCTGCCTCAGTGTCCTGACTTGACTCAAAGCATTTACCTTTCACATCATTTTAACTGCGGGGAACAGCCAGAAGCTGTGTGGGTCAGATCCAGTCAATAAGGCAGCCGCAGACACATGGTAATATTTCATACATTCTCTGACTTTTTGATCATGCCTTGAAAAGACTTTTATGAGAGGGGACTTCTATGACTGCTTCGGAAAGTTGCAAAAATGATGGGATAAGTGTGTTCAGAGTGAGGGGGGAGTGTTTTTGTTATTTTTATTTTTTTGTGTATTTGGTACAGGGTCTTACTACGCAGCTTGGACTTGTAGTGATCCTCTTGTTTTCAGCCTCCCCAGTGCTGGGATTACAGGCTTGTGCCACTACTCCCTGTCTCTGTGGCCAGCTCAGGGCACCTGGGGGCATGGCTGGGGTGGCAAGTGGTGCCGTGGATCGAACCCTGGTCCCTGCACTTGCCTAAGCAGGCACTTAGTCCCCTGAGCTACCTTGTCTGCCCTTGGAGTGGGGGGTATTTTAAAAGGGATTAATGGCAATGTGTCTTTTATTGTAACTTTAAAAATTTAAATATTTACCATATATTCCTATCCCACCTTGTAGGTAGATGAGCAGGCAGTACAGACCTATTCTCTGAGCTGCTTGGGAGGCTGAGACCAGAGGATAAAGTTGAAGTAGTGTAGCTCAGTGGTAGAGTGGTCACTGACAATGTGTGAGGCCCTCGGTTAATTCCTAGTACTACTAAAATGAAAAAAAAAAAAAAAAAAATCCTACCCATCACTGTTATTTCTCTGGGATCTTTTATGTTTGGTCATTATAAACTGAGCCTAAAATTTTTACCTCAATAAAATGATCAGTGTGAATAGAGAAATAATACTTATAGCCTTTTTTCAGGAATGATGCTCTTGATCTGAGTTTCTTGTGATTTAACAATTCTTTCTTTCTCGTATTTTCTTTTCCTTGAGGCGCTTGACTTTGGCAGATATCGAGAGAATAGCCCCACTGGCGGAGGGGGCCTTACCTTACAACTTGGCAGAACTTCAGAGACAGGTAGAAGTACTCTCCTAAGTATAATCACCTTCACAAATGCTGAAATTGTACATACATGACAAATTCAAAGCTTCTAGTTGTTCTGGCTCCACCGTCCTACTAGAATTAGAATTCTTTAAAAAAAAAAATTCTTTTCCATTTGTTTGTGTAATCATTTTCAAAGGAAAGTGTTAAAGTTTGTGTCTTAAATTGATATTTAGAGAGTTTTAAAAGGACAAAACAGGCCAGTGATATAACTTAGTAGCATAGTGCCTGCCTGGCAAGTGTAAAGTCCTGAATTCAATTCCCAGTACAAAAACAAAAAAGTACAAGTCATTGAAATAAATTATTCCCTGAGACTATGCCTTATCTAATACAGTAAGAAAAAGAAAGCATATCTAATTAATGAACCAAAAAGAAAATTTTGACTATTATTACCCTTTGGGATATGTGTGTGTGTGTGTGTGTGTGTATGTATAAAATATTATATTTTTTAATGTTAAAAATGATTTAGAGGGGCCAGGGAGATGGCTTAGTAGAATAAGCACTTCCCTGGCAAGCGCAAGGGTCTGAGTTCAGTCCCCAGTTCTGCCAAATTAAAAAAAAAAAAAAAAGATTTGGAATGGCTTCTGTGTCCTGTAAAGTTAATGCAGTTCCAAAGAAATAGTTCTACAGATCCTATCTTGGTAGGAAAAACCCCACATGATCATTTTGAAGAGTGGTGTGTAACAGCTTTCCACAAATCTTGTTTCAAACTGAAACCTCTACTGTGTCACTTGCAGGAAGCCTGAACCACAGCACATTTCCACGGTGCCTCTTGTATGGGTGAGGGCTGGGGGTTGTCTCCCAGACCTTTCCATGCTCTGACTGGAGTAGGAACTGTGTCCTCATAGTTTCTCTTTTGCACTCTAGGCTGAGGAAAGAGGAAGGGGCAGGGGACGGAGGGAGGCAAGACAGGAAGTGGGGAGTAGTGGTAGATGGGCATGTTGCACAGAGAGCCAGAACCGCCTTTTCTTTTTATTTTTTGGCTGACCCGGGGATTGAACACAGGCCCCTGCACTTGCCAGGGAAGCACTTATTCTACTGAGCCATCTCTCTGGCCCCAAAGGATATTTATTTATTTTTTTCCTGGAACCAGGGATTGAACTCAGGACCTCGCTGCTTGCTGTTAGTCACCTTCACCACATGGATTAGTGAGATGTTGATGTACTTAGGTGTGTTCACTTTGGCCAGATTTGGAAATCTTTTCTTTTTCTTGAGCTCCATCAAATGATATTTTTGCCTCTGAGATTAATTATTATAATTTCTGGTTCTGCTTTATGAAGTGACTAAGAACTTTTGTGGTTCATTGAAGCAAGGAAAATGGAAAAGACAGTTTTTATACCTACACTTCATGGTAGTGCTTTGTTTGATATACAGTAAAGCTTCCTATTGATTAAAATATGTCTGTAACCATTGCAGCGTAGCTGCTTTTGTGCCAATAAAGCCTCTTATCTGATACCATGAAAGTTTATCTTTATTAAGATGTTTCACATCTTTAAAAATAGATGGGGTTGAGAGTATAGCACAGTGGTGCAGTGCCTGCCTGGCAAGCTCAAGGTCCTGAGATAGATTCCTGGTACAAAAAAAAAAAAAGGACGGATTTATTCAAATTCAGTGATTTTTTTTTAAAGTATGTAATATAAAATTTTGAGATCTTAAAATATTTAAATTCTTAATTAAATGAATTTAATTTATATCTGTAGTATGTGTTTATTAAAATTTACTCTGGAAGTTTGACGTATTTTATTTCGAAAGGAGATTTTATAGTGTCACATATCTGTTAATAACATTATTCTTGGCAATGTCCTTAATATTTGTAGTTGGGAGATTTTTCTTTTCTTTTGTTTTATTTTCTGTGGCCAGCTCAGCCCACGCTGGAGGCGGGGCTCACACGGCATGTGGCGCCAGGGATTGAACCTCGATCTCTGCACTTGCCTAAGCTTGCCTAAGCAGGTGCGTTAGACCACTGAGCTATCGCACTGGCCCAGTTGGGAGATATTTAGCTTATTGAAAGGAATGCAAGCTGAATTTCAAAGTCCCAACTCCTTTTCTCCTTTGTGCTTTGCTGCTACTTACTTTCCTCTTCATCTTTTTTTTTTTTTTTGTATTTTAGGGAATGCTCTACAGGGTTCAAGGTCTAACTACTAGATCAGACTCAGTGATCTGCCTGTTTACAGCCTCCTAAGAATTGGGATTACAGGCACGCACCACCATGCCCAGTCTCAATTGCCATCTCAGTGTGCCCCAGGCAGGGCCAGCATGGCAGGCCTGGGGATGGAACCCCCAACCCCTGAGCCTGCTTGCAGGCCCTTTAATCCACTGAGCTATTTGGCCGGCCCTCTAACTCTTGATCTAATGATTTTTCCAGAAGTCAAATCTAAAACTTGCTTTGCAGTTTTGGCACCATGAGTCTGCATCCCTTTTATCTTCTGTCTGTAGGAAGGCGCCTGGTGTGCATTCTCTGACTGGCGTGACTTCTCTGTGAGACAGCCTGAAGGTGATACCTGCCTTCAATGGCAGCCTGATCAGATGCTTTTTTGTGGTCAGGGATAGTCTCTTGTCAGCCCCACAGAAAGTGACCATTACCACTTTCTACCCGTTCCTTGGTTCTCTAGGGAGATGGGAGAGTACTTCCTCTGCCTTTTCCCTAATTTGGGATGACTAGAGAGCAGGGAGAGGCCTTGGGTATTCCTGCATTGCCTGTCAAAATAAGATTTATGAGAAATCCTAAGATAGCAATATAGGCTGCATTGTCTACCCATTTTGAGATAATGTACTAATGACTCGATTTTAAAAATTCCTTAGTCCACAGAATTATAGTAATCTTAACCATAACTATTCCCATGCCACTTCCCAGAGATATCTTGATTTGATTCTCTTGTAATTTTTCCTTTACTGCTGAATGAGGAATACATTCATCACTTGATATTTGTGGGGAATTGGTTTCAGGACCCCCGTGGATATCAGAATCTCGATACTCATTGCCCTTATTTCAAATAGCATCATATTTGCATATAAACTACATATATCTTCCTATTTATTTTAAGTCAGCCCTAGGTTATTTATAATGCTTAGTACAAAGTAAATGCTATGTAAATAATCGTTGTGCCACATGGTTTACGGAATAATGACAAGAGAAAAAGCCTATGTGTGTTTAGTGCAGATAGTTCTTTTTCCTGAAAATTTTTAGTTTGTGCTTGGCTTTCCATGGATTTGGAACTCACAGACACACAGAGCTGACTGTATATAACTATTTACAGTAAGCATATGGAGTGTTTCCATGTGGGAATGTACTGGAAACTTAAAAGGAAGAAAGACATTTTTTGTTATCTGAACTAATGAAAGTATTTCAGAAAACATGTATGATAGAGAATCTGTGAGAAATAGTAGTTATAAGGGAGGCAGTGATGAAGAGCTTGGGCCCTTGGGTGACATCCTTCCTTTCTGTTGTTTTGTTTGTCATATAGTGGCCATAGTATTCATCTGATAGGATCATTGTGGGAATTATGCAAGATAATGAACGTCCTTACAGGAGACCTGATAGGTGTGAGGTCAATGCGAACTCCGTTATCTTTGTGGCTGTTCTTGTTATGCAAGAAGCCTGTGTGAGCAAAGTACAAGATGGACTTAAGTACATATTTTAGCATTGAAAAAAAACATTAGCTGGTAGAATTTTAACCAGTTCATTAAGTGGAGGGAGAGGGGAAGGGAGGAAGAATGATGTGTCCATCAGCTTTCTTGTTGCTTAGACACTGTACTGGACACCTAGAACTTGAAGGAAGAGAGATTCCATTTGGCTCCAGGTTTCTGAGAATTCAGTCTGTAGTCAGGTAACCTCAAGCCAGAAATATGGCAGAAGGGATGTGTTACAACCCAGGCTGGCCAAAAACTTCTGCTTCTCCTGCCTCAGCCTTCTAAGGCGCTGGGATCACAGGCCTTTGGGGTGAGGCTGTCTCCTTCATTGCATTAGCATGCTACATGAAGCAGCTTGGCTTGGACAGCTTGCTTGACTTACTGTCATGATCTGTCTTACCTAGGTAATTCTTTTTTATATGATGTGGTATTTCTTTAAAAAAAGGAAAATATCTTCAAATGAGACCTCAGTTAGGGCCCTGCTATACACAGGTGCTTGGAGAGCCAGTTAGAAATCATTTGAGTGTCTCAAATCTTGGTTTGCTTTGAAAACCACTTAATTAACTTTGTTAAATATCAACCTTCATGATCATAATCATAACCTTAAGGGCAAGAGTGCCTTTTCCTTTGACCCATTTGCTCACAGTAAGTGATTTTCTTACTACTGAATATTTTCTTTCAGCCTAAATGCTAAAAATTCAGTACACAGTCATTAATAAGGATGACAGCGATAGTAGCATTCCATTTATGAATATTCATGATATGAAATCTATAGCATTAATTATGTTAATTTGCATACCTGAATACAAGTGAACCATAAGCTATATTGATACCTAAACCTTAAGGAAAAAGAAAATCTTCAAACCCATTTACTCTATTTTTTAATAAATGCTATTTAATAGGTATGGAGGTGACATTCTGTCAAAAGGCTCTTGGGTATTTATAGTTTGAGATGTTTTAACTAAGAATTAAAGCACAGTATAATCCTTCAGTTTTCATAGGCTTTTGTAGGGCTTGTGAACATTCTTTGAAGGAGAAGAATAGAAAGAGAAGTATGTGATTGAACACAGGAAAAATCTTTATGCGAATTAGAAAATTAGTGGTTACTTGATGCTTATTTGTTATCATGGCCTTTTTATTCTAAGAATTTTAACATTGTCTTTTGAGACAGCACATGATTGAAAATAAAACATGAGAATGAGGTAATTTTTTCACCCAGGGGGCCCAGAGAGATAGCTCAGTAGAATAAGTGCTTGCCTGGCAAGCGCAGGGTCCTGAGTTCAATCCCTGGTTCTGCTAAATAAACAAACAAACAAACAAATAAATAAATAAATGAACGAATGAATTAATTAATAATAATTTTTTCACCCAAACTTGTGATTGAGAGAAATGGAATGAATCAACCTCTTTGTCTCTCTGTCAGTGTTTGTCTTCCCCTCCCTTTCTCATTCCCTCCCTCCCAGGGTCTAAAGACTGAGCTACATCTCCCAACCACCCCTTTTTTAGCTTGAATTTTATTTTATTTTTATTAATTTTATTGAGAAATAGCAATGAGACAGTTTCAAAACAGGTTAGTAGGACAGTTACAATAATTAGTAGATTACATATTGTTGTCTTCGTAGTGGTTATTCATAGTACAAGATGCAGACATGATATCCTGTCCAAAACAAGAAGGGCTACAAGGATAGCCAACATTTTGGCCCTAGTCATTCAAGGTCAGTGAGGACTCAGGACATAAGAGAACCTGTACTGTAACATCCTGTAACTTGGCTAAGCAATGGCCGTGACTCATCCACATGGCTGACACTGACAAAGGATCTACAAACTGTGGTACAGGGTTTCAGGGTAAATCTCACCCCCTTTTATGAGCCAGGGCTTACTGAGTCCCCAAGTTCCCCAGGCTGGGCTGGCATGTATGATGCTTGACTTCAGCCTCCGGAGTGCTGGAGTTCAGGCACGCGCTGCATATGCCTGGCTGAACGCAGCTCTGTGTCGCTTCTTATAAGGACTCTGATCTTCCTATGTGAGCTGTGCTCTCCTGATTCAGTTGCCCCCAGAGGCCCCATCCCCACCCACTCACTTGGGGGTTTTAACAAGTGAATTGTAAGGATATACAAGCACTCAGTTTATAGCAGTGCTATAAATTGAATATTTTTGAAATTTGTGATGTTAAGTATCATTTATCTTTTTTTTTCCCCCTGTATTTTAGGGAAGGGTTTACAGGGTGTTCAGGGTGTCACTACTAGATCAGATTTGTAGTGATCCCCCTGTGTTCAGCCTCCCAAGAGCTGGGATTACAGGCATGTGCCACCACGCCCAGTCTCAATCACTGTCTCAGGGTGTCCTGGGGGTAGAGCTGGCACTGCACAGCACACTAGGGATTGAACCCTGGCCGCTGTGCTCTGCTTAAGCAGGCCCTTTAGTCTGCTGAGCTATCTGGCCTGCCCTTTTTTTTTTTTTAATCTGCTGTCTTTGAAGCAAAATAATATCAGAGTTAACTGGTGAGCCTCACTGTGTAATGGTGTTCAGTGAATACTGGAAAATTCACTGAAGTATCCAAAAGTAACACAAATAATTGCTTTCATTAATAAAAACGTTAAAAGACTTGTCTCTTTCAATAATTTCTATTTTGTATGTTTCAAATCATGTTTTTTATAATGTTTATTACTTATGTTTATATGCATACAATACAGAGAATAGTGTCTAAACTTTTTATTTTTTTATTTTTTTCAGAACTGGGGATTGAACTCAGACCTGTGAGTTTGCCAGGGAAGCACTTACTCTACTGAGCCATCTCCCCGGCCCCCAAACTTTTTATTATGGGTTTGTTTTTGGTGTTTTTGAGACAGGTCTTGCTATGCAGTTCAGGCTGGCCTTGAGCTCACTTTGTATCCCAGGCTGGTAGGTATCAAGCTTGCAGAGATCTCTGCCTCAGCCTCCTAAGTGCTGGGATTATAGGTGTGTGCCACCATACCCAGCTTCATTATGGTTTGAAATTTTTGATTGCTTTGATTATTTTGGGGATTGAACCCACAGACTTGAACATGCTATACAAGTGATCTATTACTGAGCAAATAAATAAATAAATAAATGAACGAATGAATTAATTAATAATAATTTTTTCACCCAAACTTGTGATTGAGAGAAATGGAATGAATCAACCTCCTCATCCATTTATGCTTTTTAAAAAGTTTATTTTGGGCCAGGGATACAGCTCAGGGACACAAGCACCTACCTGTAAGTGCAAGGTTCTGAGTTTGATTCCCAGTACAAAAAAAAAAAAAAAAAAATTCAAGTTAATATTTTTTCAGGTTTTATGACAAAGCAATTATTTACTTGTTTCAAATATTGCATTAGGGCCAGGGAGATGGCTCAGTAGAATAAGCGCTTCCCTGGCAAGCACAAGAGTCTGAGTTCAATCCCCGGTTCTGCCAAAAATAAAAAAATAAAAAAACACCAAATATTGCATAAAGGAAGCTTTTGCAGATATTTCATAATAAAAATATTAAAGACTAAGACTTACATGGGTATAGACAAATACTCTCAGGCCCTTTATGTTATGGGATATCTATGAAGTAACACTGAGTATACTAGGGTGGGTTTTTTTTCCTTTATTGCTTTCATAGATTTTATTAGAACTATGAATGTGACTGTGATAGTAATCATGTAAGATTTTAAATTATGATCAACATTCTCTGACTTAGGACATAAGATAATTTTTGTACATTTTAGAAAGATTTTAGAAGGGCCGGCCAAATAGCTCAAGGGATTAAAGCCCCTGCAAGCAGGTACAGGGGTCAGGGGTTCAATCCCGGGGCCTGCCGTGCCAGCCCCACCCCTGGGGCACACTGACACTGCAATTGAGACTGGGCGTAGTGGAGCGTACCTGTAATCCCAGCTCTTGGGAGACTGTAAACAGGCGGATCACTACAAGTTCAATCTAATAGTGAGACCCTGAACACCCTATAGACCCTTCCCTAAAATACAGGAAAAAAAAAAAAAGATTTTAGAATTTTAAATTAGTTAAAATTTAAAGAAGGGGAAAATGTTTTATACCTGAAATACCTGTTTGCCTAAAAGACTCAGTTCTAGACAATGATGATATATTCCCTCACAGTCACCCGTGAGTCAGGCATTAATAGGTTTGTGAAAAACAAGAAGAAAAAAGTTGCTGTCTATTTTGCAGGATATGGCTGTAAAATGCAAATAATAGGGGTACTTTTTGAAAACATTGTTTCCATTCTTGAATACCCTGTTCCCTTCTGGCAGAAGAGAAGATTTTTACATCATTAACAATATCACTTTTAGACTTTGTTTTTTCTTATATCAAAATAGCCAAACTGTGGACTTCTCCATCAACTCTCTGGTTTCTTCAACTGTTTTCATGTATTTTCTTTGTCCTCACAGCAGTCTCATGGGTTAGGCAGACCCGTCTGGCTCCAGATTGCCGAATCTGCTTACAGATTCACTCTGGGCTCCATTGCTGGAGGTGAGTGACAGTTTTTGTGCCAGTTCCTACTGTGTTCATGTAATGTTGTCTGTCTGGACCCAGGCAGCTCAGCAGAGGTCCGACATGTCGTTCCCGGGGCTCGGGACGGCGAGGCTTTCCACAATGCTCTTCATTTTTACTTGTGATTAGAGCACTTGTCCTAGCATGGCCTGGCCCCTCTGGCATGAGTCTGTCTTCAGGACAAGGCCTCTGTAATGCTTCCGCCTGGGGTGCGGGACTGTGCTCGGATTATCCCAGTTAAGGCCCAGTGACAACATGGAGAGTGAGAGTGGGTTCTGGGCTCAGACACAGAGGCACATGGGAAATCAAAGTTTGGGGTACAAATCAGGGAATTTCATGAAGTAAAGCTGCATCCTGAAGTGATCTGGCTTGGTTTTGTTTTTTCCCCTCTTGTTCATCCATTTCAGAATACTGAGGTTTATAATTTCCTTACTGAACTCCTCTCCCCTCCCTATTTGCAGTCGATTTCGAGAAATTGTTTTTGCTTAAGTGCTCTACCAAGGATATGTTTAGAATCAGAAATTGGTTTGTTGCAAAGAACTTAGCAGGTGTGATTAAAATGCTTATGATCAAAACAAGCCTGAACTGATGAGACTAGTATTTCTTTCTTTACTTCCCCCTTCATTCTTAGTTTCAGAAGCTGCAAGGCATGTTTTGGTTTTCAGTAGTCAAAAAACATAATACTCTAGTGCATATGATAAATATATCCAACCCAAGAAATTCTAAAACATGACCTAAGTCAGGTATGGTGGCTTAATCTTGACTGTAATCCCAGTACATGGGAGGCTGAGGCAGGAGGATGGCCATAAATTTGAGGCAAGCCTGGGATACTTAGAGAGTTCAAGGCTAGATGCACTAGATAGCAAGAGCCTGTCTCAAAAACAAAACAATAAACATGGTCTTAAATTTTAAAAATTAAATTAATATATGTAGGGATAGGATTATGGTATGGAACTTTGTTTCTAATATGACAGTTATAGCTAAGATTAATTTACCAAAGTGCTTTAGTGAAATAAATTTTAAAATTACAACCACTTAAAATACATAGCCACTCTAGTAAGTAAAACATAACTGGCAAAATAAATTAGCCATTAATGGAAAGTATTAAGGACTGTTATAGTTTAGTGTTGTCATTATAGGAGATTATTGACTGTGATGCTGGCGATGATCCGTTCTTTAACTGATGAACCTAAGGGATAAAAAAGCCCATTGGTCACAGTTCTTTGAAGCTGCTATATTTAGGGGTCTCAGGGGTTTTGTCCTTTGGCCACGAACGGAAAAGGAAAAATATAGTCGTGTTCTGTGACAGTAAATGTTGTGTCTTGTAGTCTCACCTTTTGAGATGAGATGTATTATCCTGTGGCCTCTGCACTTAGTTATGTTTATTCGAAAGCCTAAGCGCTGTTGTGTTTGCAGCTGTGGGAGCCACCGCGGTGTATCCGATCGATCTGGTGAAGACCCGGATGCAGAACCAGCGCGGCACCGGCTCCGTGGTCGGGGAGCTCATGTACAAAAATAGCTTTGACTGTTTTAAGAAAGTCTTGCGTTACGAGGGCTTCTTTGGACTCTACAGGGGTGAGTATGCAGATCTGCGCTGTTAAAGTCAATGATTTTATTTCCCTCGCAGCAGATTTTAACTCACTTAGTGTGCAAACCGGTAGGTAACCTGCGTGGCCCAGATGAAGGAAATTTCTGTTTTCTCTTTGCTTATTTTCCTTTTTTACACACTCGCTGCTGACCAGCCTTGTTAGTCTGCACGCAGGGTCTTCATTTCTTCTTCCCGTCGTTTGTATTTCTTGGAATCCAAATCCAGTGCTTGCCCCAACTGTGAGTCTGTGTCCGCGTGGTCTTATGAACTAAAGCACATTCCTGCAGGTGGACTTAAGGACAGGCGCTAAGCAATAGAGAGCTTCTTTTCTGAAAGAATTAGAGAGGAGCAGCACACCTCTTTATCTGTGAAACCGAAGCCAGGCAGCTACTTGAACGTGAGTTTACCCTCTGTACACTTGTTTCAGCTGGAAGAACTATGGGATTTTTTTTTTTTTTTTTTTTTTT